TAATAATAATAATAATAATAATAATAATCTCATGGATATTAATAACCATGATAATCAAAATGGCAAATTACCAAACAAGTCAAATAATAACAGTAATGGGGACAAAATGGAAGAAGATAAAAAAGATGAAAAGAACGAAAAAGATAAAGGAGATATCATAAATTTATTTTCAGATGACGATTTAGATATTATCTCGAATGATAAAAAAAGAAATCAACCCATTATTATAATTGAGGATAGTACGATTCAATCACCTGTGACGAGAGCTTCAAAATTAAAACCAAATGGAAATACTATAAAAAGAAATACCAATAATAATACCAATAATAATACCAATAATAATACCAATAATAATAATAATAATAATAATAATAATAATAATAATAATAATAATAATAATAATAATAATAATAATAATCTTATTAATAGAAGTAAAAGATCTACCCGAAATGCTCACCCCACTACTCCTCTAAGTAGAAATCTGGGGAAATAAAAATTACAATAAAATAAAACCTAAAGTGTTAATAAACTTTATTTAAATGTATTTATTAATGTGAAAATTTTTTTATTTTTTTTTATTTTTTTTAATTTGTGATTTTTTTTTTTTTTTCTATAAATTTTTTCTTTTTTTTTTATTAATTTCTTTTTTTTAAATTTTTTTAAATTTTTTTATAAATTAAATTATAAATAAACCAAACAAATAAATATTGTATTATATAATAATGGCCTTTACAGAAATTGATTCATTTGTCAAAGCAAACGATTTTAAGAAAGTTAGACAGTACTGCGAAAATTTAGAGATTGAAGGCAGGGTACATTCGAAACATCAATTGGTATTTTATATAGATTATTAGAATTTTATATTAATATCCATACTTTTTTTTAATTTAGGATACAATCAAAAGCTACTATGGAATATATATGCTTACTTTATTAATCGAAAATGATATGTAGGTTAATTAATATTACTATAACAACAATCATATACAATCATATTAAGTATTCAATAAACTAACCCGACACATTTTAATTTATTCTGTAGTGTTAACGCCAAACTTCTCTATAAAAGAATTCCTCAAGATTTTAAAAATTCAAACCAACCATTAAAAAATATTTGGAATATTGTAAAGAGTATTTCACAATCAGATTCAACTTCAACATATAAAGCTCTTTCAGAAGGTCTTGGTGATGACTATGCTCCACTCTTAAATACTCTCAAGAAATTATACCAATCACGTACATTTAATCTTATTTCTGACGCATATTCATCTATTACTGTTAACGACTGCAGTTCATTTTTAGGACTTTCAAATGATGATACTATTTCATGTAATTATTTTAATTTATTTTCATTATAATTTTCTGATATTTTATAGTAACATATTTTTTTTTTTTATCAACTTTAGTTACCACCTCAAAAGGTTGGACCTTCGATAAAGAGTCGAATACTTTAAAACCAATCCCAATCCCAAAAATTTCATCAGCATCTCCAAGTGGTAATGAACAAATCAAAAGTTTGGCTGATTATGTACTCTTTTTAGAAAAATAAATAAATAAATAAACAATTCAAATATATTAATTATTATAATATTCTTAGTTTTTTTTTAAATTGGATTTTCAAAAAAAAAAAAAAAATGAATTTTAATTTTAAACTTAATTTAAATTTTAATTTTAAATTTTTAAAATTTTAATTCCCAACTTTATTATTTATTATATTATTTATTTATTTTTTTTTTTTCAATATAAATAATTTTTTATTTTTTTTTTTATCATTTTATTATTCATTTTACTTATATATATACATATAAAATAATTATGAGGAAAAATACAATTATTTTTTAAAAATTTAAAATAAAAAAAAAAAAATTTTAAATTTATATTTTTTTTTTTTTTTTTTTTTTTTTTTTTTTTCCAAAATTTTTTTTTAATTTTTTTTTTTTGTAAAAAAATTTTTTTTTTTTTTATTCTCAATAACACCAAACATATAATTAATTAAAGTTTATTTTTTTATATAGTATCTTTTTTTTTTTTTTTTTAAGAAAACACTATAAATAAATATTAAAGTTATCAATCATCGATTTTACTTTTTTTCTTATCAGTAAACTAAAATATAAATATATAGATATTTAATTATCTCTATATACAGTCTAAATAAAATATTTAATTTTTTAATAAATAAATAACACAACAAATAAAATTTTAAACTTTTTTTTTTTTTTCATATTTTTACTCTTTTTTTTTTTTAGTAAATAGTTTTTAGTATTTTTTTTTTTTTTGTCTATAAATAAATATTAAAAAAAAAACTATTTTTAAATAATATTGTAATTTGGTATATAATAAATAAATACAATAAATATAAACATATAAATAAATAATAAATAAATAATAAATAAATAGAAATAAATAAATAAATAATTATAATGAGCTCACAAACAACAACAACTACTACAACCACATCATCAGCCTCTGTACCAACAGTAGGTGCATCAACATCATCTACACCAGCCCAAAATGTAGATTTATCAAAACATCCATCAGGCATCATTCCAACTTTACAGTAAGTTTAATTATAAAGTAGTTACTTTTTTTTTTTCTTGTTTATTTTAACACTTTTTTTTTTTTAAAAAAAATTAGAAATATAGTTTCAACTGTTAATATGGCAACAGAATTGGATTTAAAAGCAATTGCTTTAGGTGCAAGAAATGCTGAGTACAATCCAAAAGTTAGTGTTTTAACCATATTTTTAGTAAAACCAAATAATTATTTATTTATTAATATTTTTTTTTTTCTTAGCGTTTTGCTGCCGTAATTATGAGAATTAGGGAACCAAAAACTACAGCATTAATTTTTAAAAGTGGCAAAATGGTTTGCACAGGTGCAAAGAGTGAAGATGCCAGTAAATATGCTGCAAGAAAATATGCAAGAATCATTCAAAAGTTAGATTTTCCTGCCAGATTCACTGACTTTAAGATTCAAAATATTGTTGGTTCATGTGATGTTAAATTTCCAATTAAATTAGAACTTTTACATAACGCTCATACATCTTTCACAAATGTAAGTAATAGAATACATTTATTAAATTTAACGACAAAAAAAAAAAAAAAAAAAAAGCGCAAAATTAAATTTTCAAAACACACAAATAATTAACACACCTGTTTTTTTTTTTTAAAAAAATCTATTACCACTTCCCCCCACTACAATAGTATGAACCTGAAATTTTCCCTGGTTTAATTTATAAAATGATTCAACCAAAAGTTGTATTACTTATTTTTGTTTCAGGTAAAATTGTTTTAACTGGTGCTAAAGTTCGTGAAGAGATTTATGAAGCTTTCGAAAATATCTATCCAGTACTTACAGCCTTCAAAAAAAATATGGCAATTGCAAATCAATAATTCAACACATATGTATATAATCTTTTTTTTTTCTCACTTCCTTTTTTTTAATTGCAAAGATTTGAAAAAAAAAAAAAAAAAAATTAAATATTTAGAATCAATTATAAACAGAAGTGCTCTGTTATAACCATAACAACAAAACACAATATTAAACATAATAACAACAATATAAAAACCTCACAATAGTTTCACAAAACAAAAAAAAAAACAAAAAAAAAAAATTTTATTTCTTCTAAAACAATAATCTCATAAAACAAAAACAAAAAAAAAATATTAAAAAAAAACACAAAAAAAAAAAAAAAAAGAAATCAAACAATCAACAAATCGAATTAGATTAATCTGTGGCAAAACCCACCTTTTTTAATTTAATATATATCCAATAAATAATTTTTTAAACAAGAATTAAAATAAAAAATAAATAAAAAATACAATTTTAATTTATAAATAAAAAATAAATAAAAACAATAGTCTCTTTTTATTTGATACAACTATAAAAACTTTATTTAATATATACATTTTATTATTGTTAAATTTAAATTTGGTATTGATCTGGGTTTTTTTTTTTTTTCAATTTGTATATCTACATTTATTATTTATTTATTTTTAGTTTATTTATTTTGTTCAGATTGTTCTTTTTCAGCTGCTGCTTTTTGTCTTTTTTCATATAATTTCTTTTTTGATGCATCTATCCATTCTCTTTTTAATTCAACCAATTTCTCTTTAGTGGTACTAAATTTAAAAAGATAAAATTAATAAAATATAAAATAGTTAAAATAAAGTTCTATCACTTACTAATCTGATAAACAGTTTTTCATTAATTGTTGTAATTCTCTACATTCCCAAACTACTGAAATATATTTATCTTTTGAACATTCTGCAAATTTACCAACTGAATCACCACATGCTTCTAATGATTGTGTTTTTAATTTTTGTCTTAAATAACTGTCAACTGCAGCTGGTAAAACAATATCTGAATCTGGAATTTCTAAGTATTTTTTATCTTCATTTATATTATTATTATTCATTTTATTAAATTATTTTATTAAATTATTTATTTAATTTTAATAATGAAAAATTAAAAAAAAATTATTTTATGAAAGTTTTAAAAAAAAAAAAAAAAAAGTTTTTAAAAAACATAACCATCAAAAAAACGAAAATTTTTTATTTTTTTTTTTTTAAAAATTTTTTAAAAATTTGTGCGTGGTGGTTGGCTATCAAAATCAAATTTTTTCATTCTCTTGTTCCTCTTTTTGTAATAACCAAATCGTATGTAAAATTATATGATATATGATGTAATTTTATATAATGAGAATTTTTAGAGAAAATGTTATGATTATCATTTATCTTTATTTATTCATCATTATCTATCATTAATCCATCATCAATCCATCAAATCTTTTATATCAATATTAATTTATATAATAATTTATAAACAATAGGGAAATCATGGATAAAGCTGCCGTTGTTGTTCGTACCAGAAAGGTTTTAACTAACCGTCTCCTCTCAAGAAAGCAATTCGTTGTTGAAGTTACCCACCCAGGTAAAGCTAACGTCTCCAAAAAAGACTTAAAAGCTACCATTGCCAAACTTCACAAAGTTGCTGACACCGAAACCATCTTCTTATTTGGTTTCAAAACCGATTTCGGTGGTGGTAAATCAACTGGTTTTGGTTTAATCTACGATACCCTCGAAGTTGCCAAGAAATACGAACCAAAATACCGTCTTGCCAGAGTAAGTAATTTGCTTTCATATACTATAACAATCCCACAGATTATTATCCCATTACTTGATAATAATCTTTGTATAAATGAACACGGTAAACTAATCATAATTAATTATAATAATTATTACTATTATTATAATTTAAAACTTTCTCTTTTTATTATTATGTTCGTATTATTATTTTATTTTTATTATTTTTTAGGCTGGTTTATACACAAGACCACAAACCTCAAGAAAACAAAGAAAGGAAAAGAAGAACAGATTAAAGAAAGGCAAATCAAGCAAAAAATAAATAAATTAGAATTTATTTTTATTTTTAATCTAATTATTATTATACCGTCTATTTATTTATTTATTTATTTTTATATTTTGTTTTTGATTTTTTTTTTTTTATTTAAACAAATTTTTTATTTTTGATATTACATTTTTTAATTTTATTTATTTTAGTTTAATTTAAATTCGTGTGGAAGATAGTTTCTTGATGGATAAAATACATAGTTTAGTGGATATGATGTAAAGTTTTCAATTTTCGAAGTATAAAGATCACCATATCTTTGAATAGATAAAGCAAATGAGGTTGGGTTGCTGTGGGTTCTAAAGATGGAGCCAAAGTTAGGGTTGAATGGTTCTTTTAAGGCTATACGTTTTTGGTATCTTTCTTGTTTTAATTTTTCTAAAAATAAATCTTTCTTTTCACCTTTGAAGAATTGACATCTTCTAATGACATCTTCGAGTTGTAATAAATCTGCTAATTGTTCTCTGTATTTTGGTGAGTTTTGAATGGCGACTTCAGTTTCAAGTTCTTTAATGATACTAACAGTTTTCCAACCTTCTCTTAATGAAGGTTCGACCAAGTCAGAAAATAAATGATCCCCAAAATACATTACACTTCTACCTCTCCATTTGCTAATTTCTGTAAATTTCTTTAAACTTCCTCCTACATAAACTTTTTTTGGTGTAAATTCGCTAACTTCTCTCCAATCTAATCTTTGTGAACTTGGGTCAAAAAGTCTAAAGGGTCTACCTTTCCCAAAGAATGATGGTTTATCGCATTGTGTAATGATTACATCGAATAAATCTGTCCAATCTGTATATTCGTCACCTAATTGATCATTCAATAAATATTTCATACCATGATTTGCGTAGTAGTATGAGTTGTTTGTCAATAAAAATAACTTTTTGAATTATATAAAAATTGTAATTAGTAATTTATATTTAATATGAATGTATTATTTATATGTATAATTACTTTTTTACCAGCTTTTTTTAATTTTAATAAGAAATCACCTAATAATGGATGCTTGTTCAAATAGAGAGGGAGATTTTCAATAATTTGATCATGTAAGCCACCGCCTAAATGAACTTTACCAACAGCTTTTGTAACATCTTCATAAATAATTCTTGGCTCGAATGATAAATTATGCTCTGTTAAATATTGAATAGTATTACTAATTAAACATGCTTCTGGGAGGCAAAATATATCTGACATTGGTTTTAAAAAGTTTTCGCAATAATATTTTTTTAATTGCATCGAGCCATATTTTTCGATAACCTGTTCTTTTGTTAATGATTTACGACCGTGATAAATTGCACCTGGCTAAAATAATGATTAACATTGTTAGTAAAGTGAATATAGTAAATAAAGTTATTAAAATGAATACAAACCTGAATATTATTTAAAAAATCTAGTTTCATTAATAAACCATGGTTCATATCAAAATGTAAACCTCTAATCGCAAAACTATCATATTTAAGATTCTTGAGTTCAGCAGGATAATTTTGTTCATCTACTAAATAGCTAGTGGCGAGATCGTATATCAAATGTTGTACTTGATCACTATAATTTGCTAAAGTATAGTCATAATCAAAACCAAATACATCAACTTCGGCTAATTTAAGTTCTCCATTAACAAAAACATCTTGTGGGTCTAAAGTTGGAACATGACTAAGATCAACAACTTTTCTATTCTATATAGAATTAAATAAATTAATGTTGTCAGTATTCAATAAATAAAAGAATAAATTTTTTTTCGTTTTAGTAAAGAATGGTGATGGTTACCTTATACATTTCGATTAATTGATCTAAAGTCATATTTAATACTGAGTGGTGGGTTTGTGAATATTCTGATTGCTTTCCTTCGAATGGTTTATTCATATAACCAACTATACTTTGAAATGTATTTGGTGTAAAAAGGTCATTTTTTATTGGAGGAGTTGTATTTTCATTTTTAGTGCTATAGTTTTGTTTTTGTGTTGGTATTGCAGTTGTACAATAATTAATGCAATTTGAACTTTTTAAAATTGATTTGGATTTTGAAACTCTATTTAAAAAATTCATTATTTATTAAATAAATAGTTATAATAATTGTTTTTATTATTATTTTTACAATTATTATTACTATTTATTTTGTTAAAATATATATCTAAATAAATATAAAAAGGTAAATAAAATGAAATAAAAGAAACCTATTTAAACAAATTTTTTTTAATTTATGAAAAAAAAAAATAAAAAAAACATAAAAAAAATTAATTTTTTTGTTTTTTATTTTTTTTTTATTTTTTTTTTTGGGTTTTGTGTGGTGTGTTTTTGTTGCCATAGCAACACTGTTTATCTGGTTTTGAAATTATTAATATTTGGAAAAAAAAAATTAAAAATTAGTGTTAAGAGTAAATATATATATGTATGTATATATGTATAAATAATTAAAATAATAAAAATAATAAAAAATATACATGAATTAATCCATATATTAATTGTTTTTTTTTTTTTTTGAGAAAGTAACAAAATGTTTATAAACATTTATTTATTTATTTTTTTAAAGTTTAATAGATAGACTCAGCAATAAGGACAAAAAGGAAAGAAATAAGAACTCTGTATAATAATAAAAAAAATATTAGTATTTAAATAAAAAGAATGTCTTTGAAAATTTTTTAAAAAAAAATTTAAAAGAATTAAAGTGATCAGTTAATTCCATTCAGCAAGGTGATCTAAGAATAGCAAATATTTACTTAGATTCATCATATGACTTTAATTCTTTTTTTTTTTTTTTTTTTAAAAAGAAATTATAAATATAATTTATACATACCAATTAATCAGAAATAATAATACAATACACGCTAAAACGAACAATGAAAATAAAAAAAATAAAAAATAAAAAATAAAAAAGGTGCCGGCAAAAAAAAAAAAAAAAAAAAAAAAAAAAAAATTTTGGGAAAAAAAAAAAAAAAAAAAAAACCGGGGGTTGGTTCCTTTTTTTTTTTTTTTTAGGATTGGGGTTTTTTGGAATTTTTTTTTTAAATTCCCTGGTTTTATTAATAAATTAGGTAGGGGTTATGCCATTTTATTATTCCTTTTTATTTTCCTTATTAATTTTTATATATTTTTTTTTTTTTAATTAATATATAAAAAAAAAAAAAAAATATTATATTAT